GCGCCCCACTGTTACTTGTTTTATAATCCTTGTGAAATACATATGCAAAAAACACTGAAAATTAAAATTTGAAGGAAGGGAGGAAGAAAGAGAAAAGGGGGCAAGGAATGTGCCTGTCCAGGAAAATTAGCCTGAACATAATTGTATATATGAAATAATGCCCCGGGGTCTGAAGTTAAGGCTGAGTTTTCATTCGACAGATTGGTCAGTAAACATTGTGGATGGTTTTTTGACTGTGAGAACGATCTAATTCTGGAAACATATAACTGATTTCAGCATCAGAAAACTCTGCCTTAATGATCTGCCACATGATTTACTTTGTGCTGTTGCCATGTGGTTACTTTTGTTCCCATGTGACATTTTCATACTTGTGTTTTACACTGAGTTTTGTACCACAAGGATTGTATTTTTATTATTTACTAATAGTCAGGCATAAAACTGTATGAGTACTGTGTGTTAAACAATTATGTTTGAGGGCACCCAAGAATGCAAACACTCCTTATAAGATGTTACTTGTTATTTTACAAGTATGTTAGCTTCAAGCAGGATAATAGCTGTAATACTAAGGAATTAAGACTGGGAAGGAGTGATTTGTTGGAGGTTTTGCTGAAATATAAAGAAGATTCTGTGGTTAAAGGTAATACCTGGATCCTAAAGGGTTGTAGAGAATGTGTAGGGCAGAAATTATACTTAGATCCACAACATTTGACAAAACAAAGCTATACAAACACAGTGATGGAGGAAGCTTAGCAACTGTGTACAGGAAAAAAACTGAAGGGTATTAGGTACCATAAGGCAATGGTGTGAAATCAATTCTAAAATTATTTTGATATCGAGCTGCGTTAATATAGTAACTACAATAAGAAAAGGCCAGAATTGACTTTATTCCATGCTGATCATTATAGAATTTAGATCAAGGGGCATAGGCAAACTGGAACACATTCACAAAAGAGCGTCTAGCATGATAGATTTTCTTTTTTAATGGAGAATATAGCAGAAGAAACAAGAGTATGGTTTGGAGGAAAGAAGACTTAAAGGAGCATGATGGTTACAATAGTTATGATGTTTGTCTGCCATAGTAAGAGAAAAAGCATTTCTAACTGGCTTCAATAACAAACAACTTATGGGTTTATGTAACTCAAAAGTTCTAAGACAAGTTGGGGATTATATTTGAGGCTCAATCTAGTGGCTGTTTTGGCCAAAAATGGTTACTCTCTCCTTTCTTTGGGTCAGGATATTTGCTGGCAACAGTCCAGGCAGTGTGCTTCTTTCATGTCAAGTGAGAGCCTGAAAAACCTTTTTCTTTCTATATAGTTCATTGAAAGAAAGAGTAATTTTCTTTTCCTAAATCCCTAGGAAATATCTCTTATATCTCACCGGCTAGAATTGTGACATATGCCAGTCTCTGAACAAATTATATAGGCTTGGAGATGGTATGTAAATTAGGATGGCTAATCACAAATCTACATCTTTTTTTTTAAAGTTTATTTATTTATTTTTGAGAGAGAGAGAGCACATAGAGGAGGGGTAGAGGGAGAGGGAGACAGAGAATCCCTAGCAGGCTCCATACTGTCTGTGCTGAGCCTGACACAGGGCTCAGACTTACGAACTGTGAGATCATGACCTGAGCCAAAACCAAGAATTGGATGCTTAACCAGCTGAGCCACCCAGGCGCCCCCACAAATCTACATCTTGAGCTAAGATACTACGTCTGTCAAGATTCTCAGGAGAAATAGAATCAGCAAAAGATACCCACATACACACACACACACACACACACACACACACACACACACACTTACATATATTGTATTATATATTGATATATATTATAATTTATAGACTCTACATAAAATATATTTTTATATATAAATTGTGTGTGCAAGTATATTTATTTTGAGAGAGAGTGCATGTGTGCAAGCAGGGGAGAGGCAGAAGAAGAGGGAGAGAATCCCAAGCAGGTTTCACCCTGTGTGCAGAGCCTGCCGCAGGGCTCAGTCTCACACCTGAGTGGTCACCACGTGGGATGATATTAAGATTTGGTCACTTGAGCAACTGAGCCACCCAGGCTCCCCCAAAGTGAACTGATTATTAACCATATCTACAAACTACCTGCACAGCAACACCTTGATTATTGTCTGATTAAATAACTGGGTACTGTAGCCTAGCCGAGTTGACACATAAACCATCATAGATATAATGAGTCTCTTCCAAAATACATGGCTGAAATTTTGAGGTCCTGTTGAAACAGAGATTGGCAACTAAGAGGTAGCCAACAAATATCCCTTACAATGACCAACAGAAGAAATGTAAAAGGCTTCCATGGTTGTGAGTTTTCAGTTGTTTTACATAGACTGACACCAAGAGGAAAAATTGTAGAAATAGTGAGGAAACAGCTATCAACTAAAAAATAACTAAGAAAACAGTAGTGAGTTCTTATTATTGGCACTGTTCAAACACGGACCAGGGGATTGTGGTGTAAGGCCTTAAAATAAAATCCCAATATTATGTGTTCTTGACATCTGAGGAAAACTAGGAGATCCTCCAGTGGACCAACCAAAAATTGTCCTCCCCACTGTGCTCCCACAGATAAAAGTCCCTGAGCCAAATGACCCTTGTTAACAACATCTGCTTATCATTGAAAAGCAGGTTTCAGTTCCCTGCCCATGGAATTACTCAGACAAGACAATCACTTTCATGGGAATGAAGGGCCACTGCTCTTTTGTTAGTATAAAACCTGCATCCTACAGCCTCTCCCTGCCCATTCTGTCTGTGAGTACAACCCCCTTCCTTGTAGCCATGCAGGGCACATGCTGCCCTCCTCCCCTGGGCTGTAAGTGTGTGTGATTAATAAACTGTCAATCTCATCTGTCCAGTGGTCAGGTGCCATATTTCAAGCAATGAATGTCCATAATCCTAGAATGGGAATCCTTCCCTCACCAATGGGGTGAACGGGAGGTGGCTAAAAAATAACTGCCCCCCCCCCGAACCCAGGCCATTCAACTGTGATAGTGGAGAGGGAAGAGATTCAAACATCAGTTAAATAATTGGAATAAGTGATTTGTGAGTTGCTTTTCAATCCCATTAGTATTAGCATTCATTTTATATTTTCCAAAGACAGACATAACAATCCATCTTTCTACGATTAGCCCCCATCAGGTTGTTTCACAGACTATTCATTTGTACATTTCTTCCTCTCATTTCAAAGCTCGGAAAGCCATGCTTTATTAATTTTTATATACCTTCAATTAACATAATGCCTGAGAGATAGCAGATATTCAATGAATTTTTGGGGAGTGAATCTGAGAATCACTTTCTCCATTTGAATTTGGGAAAAAATTACCAATGAGCAGTGAAATTCTCCTTAAACATAACACATAAGTAAACATTATAAATACGAATTCCCCAACACTGTTGAAATCCAAATTCACCCTATCCACCTGTAGATGGAGGGAATGAGGTCTTGGGAGAGTTGCCATTTTTTTTCTCTTCTCATTCCCCATCCAAAATGCATACCAGTTGCCCTAAGGCTTCCGAAGAACCCTGCAGGCAGCATCTCACTTTGTGTAGGAAGGAGAATTAGTATAGCTGCAAGGTGATCCCAACTTCTTGCCTGTCTGTTGATTTTGAATGCTCCATTGATTTCAAAATCCCTGCTGAAAGCTAAAACATGCTTCTGCAAGAAGGTATTTATTTTAAGCATAGTTTCATGCTTCAAGTATGCAGCTACACAGTACCCCTATCCTAAATTATGGGAAAAATATGGAGAAAGCTAAAATGCTTTGCTTGAAGATGTTTGACATCTTTTTTCTGTGATCTCTACTTTATTATTTGTTGTAATTAAATTGGCTTACTCAAAAATTTATTTTTTCCAGTTTTATTGAGATAGTAATGCATATAGCACTGTATTAATTTTAAGGTGTACAGTGTAATGATTTGACCAACATATATTGTCAAATGATTACCACGATAAGTTTAGTTAACATCCATCATATGTATTCACTTTATTTATCTGGACATTTCTACCTTTTAACCACCTTCATCAAATTCTCTTTTTCCCCATCTCCTACCTCTGGTAATCACAAATCTGATCTGCCTTTTTTTTTTTTTTAATCAATTTGGCTTTTTTCTCTCTCTCTCATTTTTTAAGATTTCACATATGAGATCATATAGTATTTGTCTTTCTTTGTCTGATTTATTTTACTTAACATAATGCCCTTAAGGTCCATATATGCTGTCACAAATGACAGGACTTCCTTCCTCTTTTGTGGCTGAATAATATTCCTGTGTGTGTGTGTGTGTGTGTGTGTGTGTGTGTATGCGTATGCAGCTTCTTTATTCATCTTTTGGTGGACACTTAAGTTGTTTGCATGTTCTGGCTATTGTAAATAATGCTGCTATGAAAATGGGGGTGCACATATCTCTTGAACAGAATGTTTTCATTTCCTTTTGATATATTTACAGAAGTGGAATTGCTGGATCCTATGGTAATTCTATTTTTAATTTTTTGAGCAACTTCTGCATTGTTTTCCATAGTAGCTGCACTAATTTACATTCCCACCAACAGTGCACAGTTCCCTTTTCTCCACATCCTCATCAGCATTTGTTATCCCTAAATTTATTCTTTTGATAAATGATATGTGCTTTTTTTTCCTAACCTATAGATTTAAGATTTATTTTTTTTAAGAAAAAAGTGAATGACCTGATCTGACAAAGGGATTTTGCAAATTCAATGACTTATTGTATACCTTCACATAGGTATACAATAAATTACATTTATTAGCAAAACTAAAATTACATTAAATCACCTCTGGTGTTGAAACCAAGGATGTAAAGTTTCCATTTCCAAATGTCTTTATGTAGTACTAAACATGTGGTTGGTATAAATATATATTGGTTAAATAAGCTAATAATAGGATACACTTCGTTTCATTGATCATAGACCTTAAGAATTTAATATAACAGAAGTCTTTTCTCCCATCTCCTGGGTTTATTCACAGTAAACAGATCCGAGCTATGCTAGGCCAGTTCAGCCAGGCAGAAGCCTTATTAATGAAAGCTGGAGTGCAGCCAGGGACTTTGGATGGAGTTCTTTTGGATCTTGGGTGTTCCTCCATGCAACTTGATGCTCCTGAAAGAGGTTTTTCCCTTCGGAAGGACGGCCCCTTGGACATGAGAATGGATGGTGGCAGGTGAGTATTGATAAAGCATTTCTCCTCACAACAAGAAATCAATTTTGCAAAAACACCCTGAATTTAATTTCCTTTTAAGACTGCAGAATTCCCATCACACGCCCACACCTAACACTATCCATACATAATAAATCAGTTTTGTTTGCTACTCATTATAGACTTTAGTGTTTCTCTAGATTTGAGATTCTAAAAGAAAAATCATTGCTGTCTTTACACAAAATAGTGAGGAGGATAACTTTCATACTAATTATCTTTTTTATAGATACAATATGGGCTTTTAGACTGCTTACAATATTGATTAATGTGAATCTGAAACAATGGATCCATTTTTATGCAGGCCCAACTATGCCTCTTGTGAGATGTAAAAGGAACTCTATTTAACACATATTCTTTTGAGTCCTGCATGAAATGCAGGATTCTAGGGGTCAGTGATTGTGTGTTTTGTGCTGTCTCTTGTATAGTCACTTTTATTTAACATTCTCCAGGGAAATTACAGTTTATGGTACTGTATCCACATAGTACTATATATATGACAGCTTTACACCTCCTGTTCATTCCTCACCACCATGGAAATACTAGTTTGTTCTCCATTATTCCATTATTCAAATAGGTACATTTGAACACAATGAGGCTCACATTCTAGTAAAGTATAGGATAAGTTCTTTTAAATCCAAATTAATTTGTAAAGCTTAGATTAGCACTTGTCTCTATGCCTAACACTGGCTTAGGGACTGAACAGCCTGTTCCTACAAAGCTTAACCATGTTTTTCTCATTTCATGTCCCACCACCACTGCCAAATTATGTATCATGGCCCCTACCTTTGGGAACCTTATCTTCTAAGAGAAATGTTAGATTTTCTTATATCTGAATAAGCAAACCATTCTGTTACTCTTACTAATCTGCAATTCTAGACCTGCATAAACATTTCTACTGAGACAAACAGGTTTTCCAAAATTTCTTACAGTCTATTCAAAGGACCTATATATAAGAAATTTAATGTCCAATTCAAGTCAGCAAATTCATATTGAGTTGACTTTGACTTCTTTTCCCAGAAACTTCTTTGTCCAATGCTAATTATTCACAGATAGCCTTTTCCCCATGTTCTGATATGACCTAGTAACTTGGATTGTGACCCATACTTGCTGGAACCTTTTGTTCTGAGTCTTATACCTTCTTTTTCCCAAGTTGGCATTCATTGAATGAAGAATGTGGTCATAAAAGAAAATAATGAAAATCCTTTAAAAAGCAGTGACTAATAGTAAAGGTCAAATATCTTTTCATGTTTGGAGATTGAGGTTGTTGTGCAGAGGTAATAAAATGTCAAGCAAATTTCTGCTGTTCCTATGTCTTGTTAAGGAGGATGCCTTCTGAAATACAATGAACAAAGCTTCTAGTTAATGGTAGTAAATCCCCATATTGTTAATGTAAAAACTTCTCAGCAAATTGTAGTTGTGAATCAGGGTTCTTGAGGTTTTCCCCTAAGAACCTGAAAATAAAATTTTCCTTAAACATTAAACTCTAAGTCAATACATAATGGATGAGATTTGAGTTTAGCAAATATATCTTAGAAAGCAGGGTGGCTTCCAGGTAGATAGCCCAGACTGTATAACCTAATCAAAGATATTAACAGATCTGAAGAAAGTATATGGCATTCAGAAAAAGGGAGTTCATTCACATGAATTCATAGAAAAGGAGAATCATGGTAAATATGTGCAATGTTTACCCAAGTGGTGTCATGGGGAGAGGGAGGCCACACCAAAAAGTATGGCCAGTCAGATCCTGGAGGCTGATATATCTGTGGTGAAGGTGGACACAAGAGACTTTCTTAACCTGTTCCGTTTATCACTAGAATCTTACAGCATAGTTTAGTTAGTTCACAGCTTCAAGTACTTGTAGGTCTAACTGTTGTTAGTTGTATTCTTCCCTGAAAGTTAATAAATAAATTTCCACTTATGTTAATATTTTCTTTCTGTTAATGTAGTCATTTTAAATCTCTGGAGAACCGTTAAAATCTCTTACCTGTTAAGTTGGGGGGTGGGGCAGATTTTGACTTCTTCATTATGAATGCCTACCCTGATGTGTCTGCTCGTAGCCTGTCAGCTTTTCATAGCGTTGCCCCTTTTGTCTTGTGGAACAATGGAAACTTGTACATTGCTATTCAGTGTTAGAATGAGAGTAAAATAAGATTATGCCCATTATTCACTGAACTCTATTTGAGCAAAATGCTGTTTTAATTGTCTCACTTAAAAGTAGAAAGGTATTATAAAGAACTACTAAGTCCATCTATACTAATCTTAGAGTTGTCCTGGTAGAGCTGGACCTTGTCCCTTGGGTCTGAATTTACCATCATTAATAAGGTTTATCTTGATGCTCAGTGGTTTTGGGCAGTTGAATGCACAACTAGGTAAGATCTAGCAGGGATTTTGTCAATGAGGCCAAGAATGATGATGGGAAAATTTAGGAATGGGCAAGATCTAGGGGACATGCACATTCATTGACCTCCGTGTGCCAGACATTCTACTATCTGCTTTACAGCTGCATGCACCCTTAATTCTCCCAACAATCCTATAAGTAAAGCATGGTTACTTTCATTTTACAGGTTAGAAATTGAGGTTTCAGTAAGTTAAAAGTCTTACTCAGTGTGAATAGCAAGTCAGGTATTCTAATCTATGTTGATCTGACTCCTCCTCGTTGTTGTTGTTGTTATTATTATTATTAGCAGAACAAAGCCTATTGAGATGGAAACAGGACTACCTTACAGGATGTTCATTGGTCTGGGGGTGTCATGGCAGCTAAAAAAAAATGAGGCAGATCTGGAAAGCAATGTTGCGCTCTCTCTCTCTCTCTCTCTCACACACACACACAGTGAGAGACAGAGAGAGCGAGAGCGAGAGAGAGAGAGAGAGAGATCATAACAAAATAGGGGACAAGCCATTCTCCTGGAGGCACTAGATATGTTAACAAGGTTCAGGTTATTATTTTTAAGAAGGGATTTTCAGGTGTTTCTTTACAACCTCCCTCTTAGGCCTTAAAGCTCTACCATATCCTTATTACTTAAAGTCCTCACAGTGTGATACTGGCAATCAATCCAACGTATTAATTACAGGAGTAGTAACAATACTGTTAACAAAGCTGCTTACCAATAAGTAAGTTCTCGGTTCGTTCATCATTTAGAATTCCTTGGCACATTTCCCTAAAGGAAAGTAAACTGCAATGGTCTGACAGAGTGAATGCTGTTTCCTACTATGTGATCTGTTCTGTTTGGCTAGAGGTTTTCCTTTGTCTCCACCACCTAAAATTATTGTCTTAGGCTTAGTACTGTTAAGGCTTTAGTACTGTTTAGTACTAAGTTTAGTACTAAGTACTAAGTTTAGTACTTAGGCTTTAGTACTGTTTCTTGATTACTAAGTTTTACCCCATGGTGACTGTAGTCCTGAGTTTATAAGCCAATATCGTTAAATATTTGAAGTAATATACATTATTGTCATTAAGATTGTTCAGTTTTTTGTGAGGGAAACTGACTGGGAGTACCTTCTTGTATAGACTTTCTAAATTCAATTTGTGCTCCCATATCAATACTCGGTTACTTTATAATCTCAGATTTAGTTAAGTTCCTGGGATATAGGCTCATTTAAATATGTCAGTATCTTGTATCTTCTTACAGTGAAAAAAAATCAAATGGTAGTTTAAATTTTCAACAAACTAAATCCAAACATTTTCCATTATTTTGGCTTAGGGGAAATCTGCATAAGGAATAATAACTTCGTGAATTAAATGTTAGTAAAATATTTTAATTTCCTGCTGCCTTTGACCTTGATGAATGTCACACACAATCCCCTCTTGCCATTATGATGGGTATTTGAAATGGAAAATCTATTTCATTTGTGTAAGATTTCAGTCTCTGACTTGAAAAACCTCAGATGCTTAGACTGTGTGTGTACGCCTGACTTCAGTACTCTGAAGTCTCACCTCTTGTCAATGAAAACTGACGTCAGCGAACTAATTGGCTTTTCTTGTGCGTAGGTACCCTGACATGCCCACCGCAGCTGATGTTGTGAACGCTTTAGATCAACAGGCACTTGCCTCCATCCTGAGAACATACGGGGAGGAGAAGCATGCCAAGAAAATCGCTTCAGCAATCGTTCAGGCTCGCAGCCTCTACCCCATCTCCAGAACCCAGCAGCTTGCCAGCATCGTTGCAGGTACCCTCATTAATTCTGAACAGTGTCTCAGAGAAAAAAAAACAACACTAATATATGTACTAATATATGTAATACACACACACACACACACACACACACACACACACACACATACACATATCCTCCAAACTCCCAGAGGGATTCATTTGTACTTAAAATCATTCAGGATAGAATCTCGCCTATCTTTCTCTCTATATCAGCTTTCTTTTGGTTCTGCAAGCTTCCCTCCCCCAGCACCTCTCCCCATACAATTTAAGAAAATATACTATAGTTGCTGATTAGTTGAACAATAGATTGTTTTTTCATGAGAGTAATTTATCATTGTGCCTACCAAGGTGCAACATGGATTGGTGAGAGCAGAATTTCTTGATCCATCACAGTGGTTGATAAGCATTCTGTATAAGATCTGACATTACCTCTCTTAGTTTCACATTTCTGCATTTTAATATTTTGGGCAAAAGGAGAATTGCATTGCCCAACTGCTAAAATAAAATCTAGTGACTCATACATCTATTCTAAACAACCAGCTAACAAAGGGTATGTGATGTATAGGTTATTCTACTTTGTGAATGCTAACTAAATCAGCCTGAGGGGCTTATTGAAACATTTCATCTTTTCTTCTGTTCGCCACCATAAACCTCTTGAACTTAAGTCTAGCTAGGAGGCGCTTTATTATAGCCTTTCTGTTTGAAGCCAAAGTTGTTTCACAGCTGTGTTCCATGATGAAAGTTTTCCAAGGCAAAAATACAACTCCTGCAGTTATTTAACAGAATTCATGTTACATTCTTTGTCTTGTGGGCCATCTGAAACCCTACATCATTTTTATTTACCAAATGTATTAGGATTTCTTTCCCATGGCTCCCATTAAGTTACCTAAGTAGCTAAAGAAGTGGAGAAAAATAAATAATTGTATAACTTGTAAAAAGAACCTGATATTGGTTGCCTCTAATCTTAATATTATCTATAATTTAAGGAATAAAGCTTGATTATAAATTCATTCATCAAGATTTAGAGATCATATAGCAATTGTTTTATGACATAACTTAATAAGACTATATTTTACTTAGTTAGAATAATAAAATATAAAGAGTTGACCAAGTCTTTAAATGTTTTAAGCTTTATATATACCTCAAGGCCCTTCCAACTTACCACTGAGATTCCTTTAGGCAACTAAGAGCACAATTCTTGTGGGTTAGATGATCATAAAATATGCCATTGTATTTGTTTCCCAAAAAGAGTTTGTACTAGTAGGCTGCATTAATTCATGCTCTGTCTTGTGTCCCTTTCTTTCCATCCCATACTCACTAAACATTACCACCTTACCTTACCTTTTTGTCATGATTTAACTAGCTATATGTGTTGTTCTCTGTCTCCCATATGGAGACGATGACAGTGAAAAGTCACATTTTTTATTCATAAGAAAATCCAGAATTTTCTGGTGCTGAAAATGAAGACTAGGGCTGAGGGCAGTCAGCCAATCAAAAACCTCATCTGATAACTGAAGAAACTGCGACTCTGAGAGGGTCAATAGTATCCTCGAAGGTATACAGCCTAATTAATGACAGAGTCTGTACTAATCTAGAATCAGAGGCATAACTGGGTATTTTTGCCTTTAAGATATTAATTTTTTGGTCTCAAGGTCCTAATCTTCGAACTTGGGGTACTAACACTGTGGCATTACAGAGAAATTATATCAAGATGTAGAATAGAAACAATTTAAGTACTTTCAGAAAGATTATGATGTGAAAAACGTATTAGGGCTATGACAAATGATATTGTAAAAGTGAGAATATTCATATATGTGTAGGCTTTAATAAATGCCATTAAAAGATTGAGTTCCCCATAATGAATCCATTTTTATAGTTCAAATCAGCCCATAATAATACAACTTTATTGATGATGATATAATTCTGTAGAAAAGGAAAAAACATAAAAAAAACAGTTTGCATTTTATGCTCATTCATTCACAAAATATTTTGGAAGAGGCTGGTATATACCAGGCATTATACTGAGTACTAATGAAAAATGGGTCAGAGGTGACTAGATTAAAAAATGGTAATAGTAAACAAGGTTTTTCTACTTATAGTGGCAACCCTCTTATTGTTGTAGTCTGAAGTTATGATTGTGTGGGTAATAGAAAGAGTTGGTACATGGAGAGAATTTATAGAACCTATCCATATTTATATATATGGAGATGCTCAGGTCCTAATTGCAGTTCCACAAAGTCCATTCTTACATAAACCATACCCATGGCATACCTTCTACAAGCACTGATTTTATTTTTATTAAAACGAACTTAGAGTTCAAAGGTACTTACAAAGCAATCTGAGCATATTTTCTAGATTTTCTTAATTTTCTACATTTTCATAATTTTTTTAAATCTTTCATAATTACCTCACCTACATCTAATTTGATTGCATTTTTTACATGACTTATCTTTATTAAGACTCTCCAAAGTCTCCAATTTACTTTTCATGGGAACAGCAGATGTCTTTCCTTTTGCATTCATATTTCACCAGTTTATGTAATATTTGATTGAATTATTTAATGGCAATAGTAAGTGCTCTTGGCTTACAGCTCTTTTGGTGGGAGCAGGACTGTATAGGAATATTCGAGAGTAAAATACCATGCTGAGACAGTTTAACAGAGAAAGGGATTAATCTGTCAAGTCCATTAAACAGAAGTCTCTTAAGAGAGCTAATTCATGAAGGAAATATGGGAAACAATGGAGGGCCCAGGAAGGTTCCTCTATTAGTTTCATTTCCTAGTGCTGTATTAATAAAGTACCACATATTTGGTGGCTTAAAATAACACAAATTTATTCTTTCACAGTTCTGGAGGCCAGAAGTCCTAAATGAAGGTATCAGCAGGGCTGGGGGAGAATAGCTACCTCCTTGACGCTACCTTGTGTCTGGCACTTGCCAATAATCCCTGGTGTTCGTTGGCTTGTGTATGCATCACTGATTCTCTGCCTCCACTCTCACTATCCCCATACATGTTTTTTGTGTCCAAATTTATCTTTAGTATAAAGACACCAGTCATATTGGATTTAGCGCCTACCCTAATAGAGTATGTCCTCAATTGATTATATCTGCAAGGACCTTATTTTGAAATAAAGTCACGTTCACAGCTTCCTGGTAAACACAAACTTGGGGGGACACTATTCAAGCTGGTACAGCTCCTAAGCAATATCTTTATTTAACAAACATGTATTTTGTCAAGCTATAATATGCTGTGACTATATTTGGACATCTTTTCTGGTTCTAATAAATTCATGCTAAATATGTTCAAGATTATCCAGGCACTCTGGGAAATATGCCACAGTTCCTGACACATGGTAAAACCCATATATTGATGGAAATATAAATCATTCCCCTTGCTTTCAAAAAGCTAATAATCCATTAAGGACAAGGAAGACCACCACACTTGTAATCACAATATACTTAGTGGGATTATATAATAATTCAAGTAAGTAAGTTGCAATTTGTAGAACCTAGAGCCTGGTGCATTTCACTAGTACAAATGAGTATTCTCCAGTACTCTTCCATATCCTATCAGCACCAGAAGACAGATTCAAGGCTGCAAATTGAGGCAGGAAACTTATAACTACCATGGATTACTTTGTAAATTACCAAATTAGTAATTTATAATTCCAAAAACGACCTGTGGGACTTCACTATTCATACACACTATTCAGAACTGCTAGGCAGAAATTTCAATGTTAATATGTCACACATGTTAGATAGTGTTCCCTCCAAAAATAATTTATAAATAACAAGTCACATTTTGTTAAGCATAGTTTCTATTCTAATGCAGTTATAGCTGAAAAATTGGATTTATGAAATTTAAGACTTGAAAATGGCCTGAGGGACTAATTTAATGTAGAGCCAAATTCTTCATTACCTCTAATAAGTGGTCATCTTGCATTTTAGCCTTTTCATCTCCATCTATCTTACTCCCCCCTTGTATTTCAGTGAAGAGGAGCACATTTCAGTCTGAAATTGCTAGTTCCATAAATAGAGGCCTTAAGTCTTTAGAAAGGATGAATTCCTTAGAATAAAGTCCAAATTCCTTTACATGGCTTGCAAAGCTTTTCATGGACCGGTTTCTACCTTTTCGTTTTCATCTCTGTTGCTTCTCCATAGTAATCTCCGTTCCAGCCATGCTAGTAATCTCCGTTCCAGCCATGCTAGAGTCCTGATGGTCGTGTCTTTCCGGCACACCACAGTCCCTCTACTCCAGGCCTTGGATATTATTAACATTAACACTAGAGTGCCCAACCCCTATCCTCTCCTGTGGTTAATGCCAGCTCATCCTTTTGAGCTTTAGTTAAAAGTGTCACTTCCTCCAGGAAGGTTTTTCTAGCTCTACACAGATTAGTTAGTTGAGGTGTTCTCCCACATGCTCCCCATAGTACTGAATTTCCCTGCCGAAGCACTGACACTGTTCTTATTGCTTTCTATTTAACTTCTCCCCTAGACCTATACTATCTAGTACACTTCCCAGTAGCCACATGTGTCTTTGGAATTCTTGAAATGCGGCTGCTCCTAATTGAGAGGTCATATATGTAAAATACACACCTTAGTTTGAAAAAAGAATTTAATGTATCTCAAAAATTTATATGTTCATTCTATGTTGAAATGGTAACATTTTAGAAATTATCGAGTTACATACAGTATTAAAATTAACTGTACCTGTTTCTTTTTACTTTTTTAATATGGCTGTAGAAATTTTTAAATCACATATGTAGATTGCATTATATTTCTATTGGATGGCGCTGCTCCAGATACTAAGCACTGTGAGGGCACTGCTGTGACTCTTTTACTCATCAGGGTGTCCCCAGCACTTATCATAATTTTGGCCCTTGGAAGACATTTGGTAAATGCTTTTTCAAGGTTAATTTATCAAATAAAGAAAATCACATAGATCCAGGAAGGTTCTGCTTTTATACAGTTGGTATTCAGTGAAATAACATCAATGTTAGTAAAAAATTGGTGTTC